GTGGAAACAAGGAGGAAAGGGCTCCTGGTAGAAGAACACCATTGTGGCCAGCCTCCTGACCAGCAGAGCCGCGGGACAGCCTGGTCTCACTGACTGCTCAACCCCGATGTCCAGCTCCTGCTGCCCGTGGGGTCCCACCCACACGGGTGGTGCAGCCTGAAGGAAATGAACGGGTGCTCCGGAAAAAGTGCTCCGAAACCTCGACCCGCACATATCCTGGCTGTGGGGAGTCATCAAAGCCTGTTTACTGGGGTATTTTTAGCATTAAAGGCTTGTTGTGCTCCCCGGGCCCTATATTCACCACCTTAGCAGAGGAGCTCTGATTCAGATTCCCTGGCCTGCTACTTAAGAGTCCTGGGATGCAAGTTACTGAGACTCAAAACATAAGGATTGGAAGATCCCCAACGGATAGATTGCTCAGCACCTGGTAAGGGAGTAGGGAGCTCTGGGTGGCATAGCCCTTAGGGAGTTGGGCTGCTGACCCAAAAGCTACATCGCTATAATGATTCAAATCCAGCAGCAGCAGCTCTATAGAAAAAGATGGCTGGTCTCCTCTCATGCGATTTACTACCTCTGAAAACCTGCTGGAGGAGCTAGGAGTTGATTCTGACTAGATGACAATCAGTGAGTGAGTAACAGGCTTTATTCTTATCTGCACCCAGACTTATTTATTCTTGCTTGTCTGGAGCCTCCTAGTGATTTATCTTTGTCTTCTGTTCCAGCTGTCTGTACATTCTTGGATGGAAGAATGTGCTCTTATTTCTTGATAGGCAATAACTCTGGCTGATTGAGGCTTATTTCTTACTTTGTGCCTAATTCAGAGCAGGCACCTCGAAGGAGTCTAAGAACTGTTTTGTTGTTAGCTGTCGTCCTTGGATACGTGGCCACACCGTGGGGTCAGTCCACCGTAATGAACAGAGTTTTAGATAGGCTAATCTTTGTTAGCAAATCACCAGGCCTTTCTTCCTAGTTGATCTTGTTCTGGAAGTTTCATTAAACTATGTTCATCATAAAAACAACATGCACATCTCTGGTGACAGATAGGTAAAGTGTTTGTGCATGAAATGCATTGGCTAGGAACTGAATCTGTGTCTCCTACATGAAAGGCAAGAATTCTACCCTGAGTCAACGATGCCCCTTAAGAATTTCTCTCTCTGAGTGCATTGTCCTTGTGCCTAACACTGATCTAATGACGCGTCAGGAAAGACGTTACATCCACATGAGGGACCAGGAGGTGATGTGAGCTGAGCCTCTGCGCCCTGGAGTGAGGGTCCAGCTCCCAGCTTGGCAGCTCCCAGCCTCCCCTTTAAGCAGGATGAGAATGGCCTGGATAGTGCCCTCAGAAGCTCCCAGAAGGAAAAGTAGGTGCTGCCTGAGCAAGAAATCTCACATTGGGAAGAGGCCCCACCCAATGCCTGCTATTCCAGAGTCCCTGGGGTGACTTACTGGCTTCCTGGTCCTCTAGCCATTGTGATTTCAGTTCCAAGATATTCTGTGTCCATTGTGACCCCAGAGCACCCCTCTCTCACTCCCTCCCAGGGCCAGGCAGTTGCAGTAGCCACTCACGCCACCTCCTGGAAACAAGTATGCTAGGAACTGATGGAAGCCAGGGTGGTTGTGCTGGAACTGTTAAAAACAGGAAATTTTAAGCAGAAATATTTCCTCTGGGCCTGGTTAACCCAAACAGGGTTGTCTTGGGATGACTCCAGATTTTGAAGTCAGTCTTGCCACTGAGATCAAAGAAATTGGAGAGAAAATATCCTCTCAATAGATAAGAAACCACAGGGCTGGCCTTCTGCTTGTCAGGAGAAAAGACTCTCCTATCTGGTGTCATTTAAGTGATGCTGAGAATCCTAGTTCTTATCCAACCCAGAAATGGGTCACCACCTGTGCAAAGAGCCTGCTAATGCCCTCCTCAGGGTTACTTGCTGAAGCTGGAGTTGAGGCAGTGATTCTCAAGAAAGATCCTAGGACCAGGATTCTCAGCCTCACCAGGGAACTCCTTAACAATGCAAATTCTTGGGGCCCACCCAAATCTACTGAATTAGAGCCTCCCCAGGTGAGGCCTAGTCAGGACCAGCTTCTTGGTGGTGTGGCCTGGGCAGTCACTTTGGGCTTCCCACTTAGGAAGGCCTGTTTGAATTTTTAAGCAAGTACTTGGTTTAGTTTCTCAATGAGGTTGCATTTTTATTTTCTTTACAGTGGGCTGTACAAATTAGGTAGACAGCCCTAGACCCAGACTCCGTTTTTAGCCAGCTGTCCAAATGATTCTGATGTATGCTCAAATTGGCAGTAATTGAGTTAGGTCACTGTCTCTCCTGACCCACCCCCTGCCGCCCTTTAGGATGGAGAGAAGCTTCCCATAGGGTTCCAAAGGGGAAAATCTCCCCAGAAGCAGCTACCACACCTTACTCCCTAGGGTGTCTGATGGCTTCAACTCCAACCTTTTGGTTAATAGCCAAATTCTTTAACCAACGTGTTACCTGGGCTCTGTCTCTTCTAAAGCAGCTGCTTAAATGCAGACATTAACTGGGAGAGCTGACATTAGCAGCAGTATTGCCCTCGCCTAGAACATGAATTCATTTTTGTCAGTTGAATAGTTAGTTGGCAAAGAAGAGGTGCATTGACAGAGGCCCTAAACAGAGGCTGAGTGTGGGAATATGTGTGTTATAGGCCATTGCTATAAAATACAGGAAGCAAGTAGAAAGCCAGTGGGATATGGCTCTGTGCAGCCCAGTCCTTTTCTCCAGAGGCTGCCCTGACTCTGGACAGGCTGCACTCTTCTCCTCTGCAGAAACAGCAGCATAGGGGACACCCGCCTACTTGCCAATCCTGGTTCCTCAGAGATAGCTGGTCCCAGTAGGAGTCCCTCCGTATGAACATCTCCTAACTTGGATTTGTTCTTCCTGAGGAATAATAATGGCATTCAGCCTAGAGTTTAAATCTGAAGGCCCAAGAAAAACATGAAAAGAGAATAAAATAAATTCAAGGCCCTTGAAGAAAAGTCTTTGGCCCCATTTCACAGTAGTAATATATTTCTTGACAACTAGCCCATAATTTAATTGCATTTACACTCCTTGAAATGGTCTCAATTTGAAAGACTTCTTTTAGCTAAGTGAGTAGTAACTTTTAGAAGTAACAAATTACTCTATAATGTCCTTGTTCTGGAAATTGAACAGGACTTACCTGCATTGATGTTTATGCTAGATAATTATGATCTTTTAAAAGAAAGACATTAAGACATTAATGTTTTAAATTAATGTGGGCCTGGGCCTGAGAGGTGCATTTATCTGGCAGAATAGCTCATTTTGCACGTAGTACGGATATCCGAGATGGGCCAGGGCTGCTCAAAGTGCCTGGTTTGGGGGTGGATATTTTCCGAAGTTGCCTCTAGCAACCATCTCTCCAGCCTGGCATCAGTGCACTTGCCTCTTTGCTCTCTCCTGTATCTCTGACTCTCACCCTTACAAACCATTGGACATGCCACTGCCAAGTTAATCTTCCCAAAATGATACCACTCAAAGGACATTCTCCTCCTCTACTCAGACCCTTTCTGAATTCTTTCGCCTAAAATGTGAGAAGTCCACAGGACACCTGCCCTGTCACGGAGGCCAGGAAATCAGTAGTCTTCTCCAGCCAGGTAGGCCTTCACGTACTCAATGCCGGGGAAAGACTGTAGACTGCATTCTCTCCTTGCAGTTTCCACCACCTAGCTCCTTCCTTCCAGGAAAGTCCTTCCCCTTTCTTTCTACAGAGTAAAATTCAGTTTTTCACAAGTCTGGTCATATCAGTGTCTTTGGAACAGTTTTTGAGTACCTCAGCACAAGCCCTCTTCTTTTGTACCCTGGTCTGCACTCCTCTTTGGGTTCCCAGCTATGACCCCTTGAGCTTTTCCAAGTGTCCTCCACCTGGGCATTGAGGATTTGAGAACACTGTCTTAGGAGTAATGAGACAGGAAAATAACTCTTGGAGTTTTGCCAAGGGAAGTTTTAGACATTTTTGCATACTCCTTATAATGCAAGTATGTTGCTGTTGTTTACCGTCGAGTCGGAACCGACCCATAGCTGACCCTCCGGCGGGTTTTCAGAGACAGCATGGGAGGAGATTGCTCATCCCTGTCGCGCGGAGCAGCTGATGGTGGCCTCGAACCCTGTGCCTTGAGGATTGCAGTACAGCTTCTTGCCGCTATGCCACCAGAGCTACAGAAATTATAAAAATTTAAAATTCCAAAAATTTAAAATTTTAAAACTGATGTTTTAAAAGGTTGTTAATATCCTGAGTTGTCATGATAAGAGGCAGAATAGGAACAGAATCTGTGTTCATATGCTTGAAAAGTCTGTACGCAGAGTGTGGCTTCTAGATTCAGCTGCCTGAGTTAGAAAAGTGACTCAAAAGCTTCATCAGTAATTTCACCTCTCTAAACCTTCTCTTCAATATAAAACTAAGAGTAGTATTTAACTCCTATGTGGTGAATTTTATAGAACATGTTTCATACAGTAAATTACATGTAGTAATTGCCCTACATGCAGTGTTTTTGTGTGTTGTTGAGTCGGACCTGACTCACAGCTGACCCTCCATTGAGTTTTCAGAGGCAATAAATGGTATGGGAAGACATTATCCATCCTTCTCTATGGTTCAGCGCCATAGAGATTCGAACTCCATGACTTTGGGATTGCAGCGCAACTTCTGACCACTACTACTAAGAATACTTCCTGTTACTGGGCTGATACTGTTTTATACTGCAAATAGTCCTGGTGCTTCCACGGTACTATCTGTAAAGCCACCTTGTGGCTCTGATGGCCTGAGAGAGCCATCCTCATGGCATACTGCTCACCCATTACTTGGGCACATGGCAGGTATTTAGATGATTGACAGTGGACATATCCAGAAAAAGTCACTTTTGAGTCATGCCCGAGGGCCATCTATCCTCTATCCATGCTAATCACATATGTCTTCGCATTGAATTCTTGCAAGTCATTGAGCCACATCTCTCTTTGCAGTTTGCTCTGAAAATGAGTCTGAAGCTGAGGCTGACCAGCAGATGGACAACTTGTACCTGAAAGCTTTGGAGGGTTTCATTGCTGTGGTGACTCAGGACGGTGATATGATCTTTCTGTCAGAAAATATCAGCAAGTTCATGGGGCTCACACAGGTAATGTCTTCCTCTGTCACTTTCAAAAATGGAAGAAGTTTCCGCTTGCGTTTAGAAATTAGTGAAAAGTGCTAATCCCAATCCCTCCTGATCTCTCCCAGTTTATACCCACTGTGGCCCTCACTGGTCTCAGACCACAAGCCTTAGACACTTGCTGGTATTGAATTTGGCATTGCCAGTGGCCATCCTGGTGGACAGTTCTCTCCTGATTAGATTAACCAGCCAGTCTGTGGGAAGGAACTCTATCAGAATGAGTAATCCTCGATTACATCTTCAGTGGGCCTACATACTAGATTGGGAATGTGAGGAGACCTTGTTCAATCATCTCCTTTCCCCCATAACTAGAAAGCAATTCCATTTCCTATTTGAGTCTTCTACTTCAATAAAAGAAATAATGGAGCCCAAACTTGATTTTGAAACAGGTGGAGCTAACAGGACACAGTATCTTTGACTTCACTCACCCATGTGATCATGAGGAGATCCGGGAGAATCTGAGTCTCAAAAATGGTAAAGTAGTCTTCGTTGTGTGCTTCCTTCCTCCTTTTCCCTCTGACAGGAGATCTGCAATCTTTTTGTCTTTAAGTATAAGACAGTTCGGGGGCTGTCATGGTCCAGGCAAAACTGACATCAGTAAAAAGGGCTGGCCCTCTCTGTAGGCGTGTGCTCTGTGGCATGCAATTGAGACACTGAAAGAACCAAACCCTCACATTGATCTGCTGCTGGACCCACTTAGACCCTGAGAGCACTAGGCTACTCCTGGGTTTCAGGATATTATCTCCAGGAGCTTTTATCACCAGAGAGTCCAGTATCTCGTCCGAGTGACAACACACAAACCAACACAGTCATCTCTACAGTGTTCATGAGAAGAGCTTCACTTGCCCATTCTGTGTAACAAGCTATCTCAAAAGTGGACTTGCTTATTAAGCAACAATCCTGTTAGCCCTCACATTACCCTGGCAGTTCTTGTGTGGGCAGCACTTATGTAAGGGATCAGCTGGGCTGATCAGCAGGACTCACTCATGTGCCTGGTGGGCACCTTGGTGCAGACAGCTGGAAGTCTGTGCTTGGCTGGAATGCTGAGGTAGCTGCAATGGTCTTTCACTCTTTGGAGTCTCAGACCCTTTCTTTTGCCACCTGGTGGTGTCTCAAGGGTAGCCAGAGTTCTTATGTGACAACATTCCCGAAAGTATAAACTTCCAGGCCCTCCCATGACTTAGTCCTGAATTCATTTTTAAAGCAGATGCTCGAAGCCTGAGAAAATAAGTGTATCTCATTTCTTCTCCACCTCCGAAATTCCCTTAGCCCTTAGGTTCCTGGGGTCCATTTTATCACTGATCCTAATCTCATTTGGACTGTGGGACTCGAGCCAAGTCACTTCACGTCTCTCTTCCTTAGGGTCTTTCTTTTCCAAATGATGGTTTGGACCAAACAAACTCTAGAGCCTTCCAGTTCTCAAGTGCTCTGATTCATAGGCAAGTGAGCTCTGCTTATGTAAACAGAACTTCAGATCTCTTGATCCTTGTATTGGGTTTTGGAAACAATCAAATGTAATGAATTAGCAAATGCTGACTGAAGGTGTGGACCTGCAGTGGACTCCAGGTGAAAAAGCATACTTAGTGTGAGCTCATCGAGGAGAATAAGACTGAGAAGTAGATTGTGGAACCTTCTAAGGCTGAGCAAAAGGACTCAAGCTTATCCTGAGGAGAATGGGAAACTGTTGAAAGGTTTTGGGCACAAGCAGGTGATCTCATAGGAGCTCTGCTTAGGAAGATTAATAAAGTGTCAGAATAGGGAGAATCTAGAAGTTGTTGGGAACTCATAGTAACAATAACAAAATAGCCAATAGGAATGAGTTCCTTCGGTTATGTTCCTCCTATGTCTAACCTGTCCAGACCACAGCTAACAGGTATGCTTCCCTATAAGCCTACACCTGCTATGGAAATGAAAATTATAATAATAAACATAATTAAAGATAGAAGTGATTATATTATACTATTCTCCCTTATGAGTATAAAAAGAGTCACCATTCAGACAGTTTCTGACTGACTCCTTCTGAGGATGTTTAAGGTGAGACCAAATGTTCAGTACATCTTATGACACACTAATATTCAGGGATCTGTAAAGGAAACGAAGGTTCTCTGTAGCTTCAAGTGCAGAGGTTGGTAGCTATGCCTCGAAGAAGGGTGTGGCTGTTCAACACAAGGCTCTAGACTGTTCTGTGATAAGGACAGAGGACAGAGATGAGTGTGGAAGGCTGGAGAATAAAGATGGTGGTGGTGAAGGCAGAATTTAGACATGGACAAGAGAGGTTCAGATAGAACTTGCTGAATTATAATAGTTTTACTGTATATTATGATTTTATATTATAAAAGGTAGTGCAAGTTCTGGATGGACCAGAAACTATTTGGAGACTCTAAGGAAGGGAGCAAAAGTAAATGTTTTCTGGAGCCACCTTTCAATGTTGATAACCAGGAGATTCTGACCAGGTTTTCCTTTTAAGCCTTGGCATCTGTGAGTTTAGAGAGGAACCTATTCTCTTTAAACCAGCCATTGTTGTTTTTGTTGTTGTGTGCCATCAAGTCGGAACTGACCGAGAGCTGACCCTCCAGTGGGTTTTCAGAGACAGTAAATCTCATGGGAGGAGGCTGCCCATCCTTCTCCCATGGAGCAGCTGGTGGGTTTGAACTGCATGTCTTTGAGATTGCAGTGCAGCTCCTTACCAGTAGGCCATTAGACCTCCCCAGAGCAGCCATAGTTGTTGTTGTTGTTGTGTATCGCTAATTGAGAAATGACCCACAGCTGACCGTCTAGCTGGTTTTCAGAGGTAGTTGGTCACATGGGAGGAAATTTCCCATCTTTCTTCTGGTGAACTGCTGATAGATTCGAACTGCATGCCTTCAGGATTGCAGCACAGTTTCTTAGCACTAGGCCACTAGAGCTCCCTAAAAACAGCCATAGTAGATTACAAACATAGTGCTCACTAAACCCACTACCATCAAGTCCATTCTGCCTTGAGCAATCCTGAGAAAGAGTAGAACTGCCACAGAGGGTTTCCAAGGCTGTAAACCTTATGGAAGCAGACTGCTTCATCTCCCTCTGATAGTTTTGAACCACTTACTTTTTAGTTAATATGCAAATGCTTTAACCACTGCAAACCCACCCGAACACATCGTCACCAAGTCAATTCCAACACATGCCAGCCTTGGTTGGGGTCCCAAAGCTGTAAATCTTAGTGAAAGCAGATCACCTCATTTCTCTCATGGAGCAGCTGGTAGACTTGAACCTCAAACCTTTCAGTTAGTAACCCAATATGTAGCACAAAAACCTGAAGGGCAGATGATGAATAAAAAGGCAGAATGTCTTAGGTACATCTCTAACCTCGATTATTCCCTTGGAGTAACTGTGGTCATCTGAAATTCCTAATAGAAAGCTCAGACTTGACCAAGGGACATCTGCTGAGATCATGTGTAGACTCTGGATTGAGGGCTGACAAAGTGCTAGATACAATGGGAAGCAAAATAATACCCCAGGTCTCACCTTCAGGAGATCAGAGTCCAGTTAAACTAGCCAGAGATGAAAAATATCAGTCCAGAGGCTGAGATACTGCTGCAGCCTGCAGTTGCTCAGAACACAAATGGCTGATGGTCACGGTGTTAATGGGAGGAGAGCATCTTGTTTGGGAAATATAACCAGTCAGTTTCCTGGTACAATTGCAACTGCATCCTTCTGAAAGAAATAGTAAAATGAATTCACCTGCCCTGCTATCATCCATCTCCATCTAGGCTCTGGTTTTGGGAAGAAGAGTAAAGATATGTCCACCGAGAGAGACTTCTTCATGAGGATGAAGTGCACAGTCACCAATAGAGGCCGAACTGTCAACCTCAAGTCAGCCACCTGGAAGGTAGGGCAGCCCGAGGCCTGGGATGGAGTCACCGGTATGGGACAGTGGGCCCACCAATATGTGGGACTACATCTGACCCTCTGATGCTTTTCTCAGGTCTTGCACTGCACTGGCCAGATGAAGATCTACAACAACTGCCCCCCGCATGGCAGTCTCTGCGGCTACAAGGAGCCCCTGCTCTCCTGCCTTGTCATCATGTGTGAACCAATCCAGCACCCGTCACACATGGACATCCCCCTGGACAGCAAGACCTTTCTCAGCCGCCACAGCATGGACATGAAGTTCACCTACTGTGATGACAGGTGGGAGTCCAGGGCGTGTGCACAGTACTGTGGTGGGTCTTACCAGCATGCATGTGTGGTTGTATCAGTGGGAAAGGTTTCCTCATTGAAGTGGTATCAAAACCTGTCGGCAGAGCTGTTTATTCTGTGTGTAGCTCAGTTGTCTTCACTGTGGTGTGTATGTAAGTAGTCAGCTATTGAGGAAATTACAGGAGGTGAGAATGTAGAGATTTCCATCAGTACTACCAGTTCAGAGGCAGCCTGAGAAGTGTGTGGCTTCCTCTTGTCCTCTTCCATCACTACACTTTTCTCCTTAGCTTTTGCTCCTCATGGATGTGTCACCATGCTCACTGTGGTCTAGCCAGGTTTTGAAGGTTTTGACATGAAGGCCACTTAGCCAATTTATCATCACCTTGCCTGCAATTCACGAAGACCCTATGTGTTTCAGAGTAGAACTGTACTGGGAGGGTTTTCTGTTTCCCAGGACAGCTGTGGCAGACTTACTTCCGGAAAGGCTCTGACCTTTCAGAAGTCGATCTTCAGGTCTTTCATCCAAAGCACCTTTGGGTGGATCAGCACAGCCAGCTTTTGGTTAGTAGCCAATCAGTTAACCATTTGCACCACCCAGGGAGTTTCTAATCCCCAAATCCAGGCCGCAGTAGAAATTCCTATTTAGAATGGTAATGGTTAGAAAGAGCATTGGCTGTGAGGCTCTATGGTGTGGGTTGAAACCAATCATAAATGTTCAGTCGTAGCTAGGCTTTTCACCTACATTGTGTCTTTATTAAAGTTGCTGAAAGATCACCCAAGGCTACATATATAAACTTTGTTTCTTTGAGATTTTCTATCAATTTGAAGATTGAAGTGGGTGGAAAATGGCTTGGGTTGTCGTAGGTGGAGCATTAAAGTCTCTTCACAGTCCCTGATTCTTGCATGGCTACCCTTTGGCCCCAGCATTGGAAATGATGATGATCAGAAGGTGAAAGGAGGAAGACGGAGAGACTAGAGAGGCTGAGCAATGACCACGAGTAGGAAGGTGCTGGGTAAGGAAGACTTGGCCCTGGTCAGCCTCTCCAAATAAATACCATTACAGGCATCCCTGGATGTGTCCTTCTGGGCAAGGGCCTTCCGCCCTGACTCAGCCCTCTGTAATAGCGAGTCTACATTCTTTCCCAGAGTCATGGGTCCTGCCTGTGGCAGCTCTTTGCCACTCCAGCCATTCTCTCACCTTATGCAATTTCTCCTCAGGAAAGCTTGAGATAGATCTCAGTTTCTCCATCTTTAAAATGGGAGTAATAATGCTTTCTCAACCTATTTTACAAAGTCACTGTATAATGAGCCATCGTGATGACATATTAGCTACGAGCACTTTGAAATGCCCAAACAGCATTCCACATAAGAAGCCTCTTATTGTTTATACATAATCTATACTCTTACCCTCCTCCCCAAAACAACTGTCCTCCCAGGAGGAAAGATCACTTTGGAAGGTATTTAATAAATATTGAGAAGTCCTGGAAGAGGAAGACTCAGCCACCAGTGAGAAGCTGCACTGCTTTCCCTACCAGCAGGAACCCCTACACCCTGGGAGGGGCTCTCCTGCTGGATAGGTCTGGGGTAGCTGGTGTTTCTTTAGGGGTGGGTTCCTACTTCCCCAGATAGACTGAGTTTTCTTTTTCCTGATTCTAGAATAACCTGGTATTTGGTTAGCTTTTAGAATTGGCCACCACTCCCAGCACTATTAAGTACTTTTGAAAAAGTGTCTGAGTCATTCCTGTTCCTCTGCTCTGAGCACCACAGGACCAGGACTAAGGGCTGTTAGAGGTGGTGAATAGATAGAAAGAAGCATTGCCTTCAAGGGGAGAAAATGTTACATAGAAAGCCCTCTTTTGCAGATCCTTAATGCATGAAGCCTTTATGTTTAGTTGCTGTTGCTATAATGAGGTTCTTTGGAGGAATGCATGCTGCATACCAGGGTGTCTCTCAGATGCAGTCTCGTCTTTGTATTCAAATGAATGTGGCATTATGAGGTAACCTGGTAATTCCGTTGAAATTATCTGTTTGTTGGCTTGGATGCCATGTACACGTGACTATTCATTGTCTCAGTTCATCCCCAGTACTTGGGCCACATGTCTCAGTCTTAAGGGGGAGTGACTTCTGAGTGCCCTGGCCCCATGCTGTTCTATGTGAAAGCTGAATGTAGCCCTGTGGGTCAAACATTTGTCATATGACCCCATGAGCCTTGGGAAACCCCCTCTCCTAGATAGTAAACTACCGTTCTCTTGCTGGATCAAATACTATGTCTATTTCCAGCTTTTTGAGAAAGTGCCAGACCACCTCCATAGTAGTTGTACCATTTTACATTCCTACCAGCAGTGAATAAATGTTCCAGTCTCTCCACAGCCTGCTCAGCGTTTGTTGTTTTTTGCCCTGTTGAACTTTGCTGTTGTTGCTAGAATGAGATACTGTCTCATAGTTGTTTTTATTTGCTTCTGTCTGACAGCTAGGGATTTTGAACATTTCTTCATATGTTTGTTTGCCATCTGAATGTCTTCTTTGGTGAAGTGGCTATTCATGTCCTGTGCCCATTTTGTGATTAGGTTGTTTTTCTTGTTGAGGTGCTGGAGTATTTTAGAAACTTTAGATATAAGTCCCTGATCAAATAGATCATTTCCAAATATTTTTTTTTCCCCCTTCAGCCTATGGCTTTCCTTCTTACCTGTTGGATGTGCATAGAAATTTGATCTTTAGTAGGTTATATTAGTCTATTTTATTCTCTGCTGGTTGTAGGGTTTTTATTATGCTTAGAAGACTGTTCATGCTGTCGATTAGGACTTCTAGGATTCTTTTAGCTTTTTTTTTGAGGATTTTGATAGTCTTTGGTTTTACTTCTAGGTCCCTGATGCACCTTGAGTTGGTTTTTGTATGAAATGTGAGGTGTGGGACTTGCTTAAGTTTTCTGCAGATGATTTTGCAATTATGCCAACACCATTTGTTAAAGAGACTGTCTCCTTATCAAAGATCAGTTGATCATAGGTGGATGAGCTGATTTCTGATTTCTCAAGTCTCTTCCTTGGTCTACTTGTCTGTTGTTGTACCAGTACCGCACTGTCTTGACCGACATGGCTGTGCAGTAGGACTTGAGATCAGGGAGTGTGATGCCTCCTACCCTGTTTCTCTTTTTCAGTAGTGTTTTGCTTACTCAAGGTCTCTTTCCATTCCAGATAAAATTGGAAATTACCTTTTCCATCTCATTGAAGAATGGAATTGGTATCTGCATTGGAATTGCATTGGACTTGTAGATTGTCTTTGGTAGAATTGTTATTTTCACAATGTTGAGTCTTCCTTATCCATGAGCTTGGTATATTCTTCCATTTCTCCAGCTCTCTTTTTTATTCTTATAGTGTTGTTGTTGTTGTTGTTGTTATGTGCCGTCGCATTCTTGTAGTAAGATTTTTAAAATTTGTGTCTGTATAGGTCTTTTGTATGTCTAGTTAGATTTATTTCCAAGTATTTTATCTTGTGGTTAGCTATGATAATTGGTTTTGTTTTTCTTAGCTCCATTTCTTTATTCTCTTTGTCACTGTAGAGAAATCCAACTGATTTTTGTATATTGATCTTGTACACTGCTACTTTGCTGAACTGGTTGACTATGTAATACAGTTTTCTCACTCTGAATCTTTAGGGTTTTCTAAGTATGCTATCATATCATCTGCATATAAGGATAGTTTTACTTCCTCTTTGCCAATTTTTATATGTCTTGTTTCCTTGTCTTGTCATTGCTTTTGCTAATACTTCAATACTATATTGAATAGAAGTGATCATAGTGAGCATCCTTGCCCAGTTCCTGTTCTCAAGGAGAATACAAGTGGACGTCTTGACGGAAGATCCTTGTCTCTTCTGCTTGTTTTCTGGTTCCTTCAATGGCTCTGTGTCATTTACATCAATCTCTCCCCGCTCCCACTCACCTACGTGTCCTAATCTAATCTTTTTATAACTTGCAATAGGTTGACCCCACACAAATCTTGTCTTATTGTCATAACAAATAACAACCCATTCACAAATAAGATTATAACTATATTTTCTTATGGGTAAAATTAGAAAAACTGAAGAAAATGCAAAGCTATTAGATTCCACACAGTCACTTTTGAGGTACTTGTCATATGTATTAAATCACAGGCACAACAAAGAAAGAATAAAAATATAATGGAGAAAAAGAGAACAGAGAGGAAATAGGAGAGATAAATAAAATATAAAGAATGTATAGAAAGGAGCATCTAAGTCTGTATGTAATTCTTAGTTTATGTCCAAAACACTCTCCTCTGGCATGTCTGAGATTGAGTTAAATTAATGTAGATGACTAAAAATACATTTTTCCTGCCCTCTTTAGGAAAAGGTCAGAAGACTGTATTAAGTTATGTCCTTAACAGTATGTTGTAGTTGCTTTGTGCCGGTGAGTCACTTGCGACTCATAGCAACCCCATGTACAAGAGCCCTAAACCCTGCTCGATCCTGTGCCAACCTCACTGCCTCTGACACACCTACTTCCATTACTCCAGTCACAGAATCGATGTATCTCATTAAGGGTCTTCCTCACTTAACAGTATACAATAAATATTTTGAAAAATGAATTCTATAATAAGATATATAGCAGTCACTTTAATGTGTGTGAAAATTAATTGCTCTAGATAAGGGTTTATAATGTTGTTGCATACTGTCAAGTCAGAACTGACCCATAGTTGACCCTCCCCCAGGTTTTCAGAGGCAATTAATCACATGGGAAGAAATTGCCCATCCTTCTCCCGTGGAGCAGATAGTGGATTTGAACCATGTGCCTTGAAGATTACAGCTCAGATTCTAGATTCTTACCACTAGACCAACAAACATTTTGAAAAAGGAATTCTGTAATAATTTGCATACCAGTCACTTTAACGTCTATGAAAATCAATTGCTTTAGATAAGGGTTCAGAATAGAAAAGTTTAAAAATTCCTGGTTATTGGTATATTTAATTATTCCTTCTCCA